CTTCTGGATAGAAAAGGCGCCAGATTAAGGGAAACGTCACAGATAATGCTAGTTTATGGAGGGTAGCCTTCCTGCTTTGTCTCATTCTTAATGTGGAGTGGTGTCCTCAAGTTACATAACCAGTTGTTTCTCTCTCATTGAGAGAAATGCTTATGCCGTGTTTGCCAGGTCATTGTTGAGACCATCTCCCGAAGCACGTTGAAAATGGGCCTTTAATTTAATGTTTATAAAACCATGTTCACTTTAACTAGCTTCCCCAACAATCCCGTCTTCTCCCATTGCTTAAGATCAATGGGGTGTTCCTGGAAAATGTGGACCATTTTCTGTATCTTGGGAGCCTCCTGCCAACATAGATTATAAAATAGACTATGAAATTCATCATTGACTCCAATGGGTCAAGTCAGCCTTCTGCCAACTGAAAAGTATTTAAGGACCAGGATCTCGATCCTGAGCTCAAGTTCGTGATTTACTGGACAACAGTGATCCCGTACATACGGCACCTCCAAGTATATTGAAGTACCAAAGTGGTTTTCTTCGCAAGATCCTGCAACTTTAATGATAAGCAAGGCAGCCAAATAGCAGCGACCTCTCCTAAGCCAACTTGCCTATGTCAAGGCACCCATCAAATCCAGTTCTACTGGACAGGACGTGCCTTGCATACAAACAACATTAGACTTTCAAAGCACATGTTCTACTTGGAACACAGTTACAGCAGGAGATTCCGAGAAGGACAGTGGAAACACTTTAGGAATGTCATAGAGTCGTACAGCATGAAAACAGACCCCTCAGTCCAATTAGTCCATGCCAACCAAATTTTCCAAATTAAACTAATCCACTTGTCTGCATTTGGCCCATATCCCTCCAAATCTTTGTTGTTCATGTATTTATCCAAATGTCATTTAAATGTAACAGCGCTTGCATCTACCACTTCCACTGGCAGCTCCGTCCACACATGAGGTACTCTGTGTGTAACAAAAAAAAAGTTGCCCCTCATGACTTTTTAAAAATTCTCACCTTAAAAATATGCATCCTGGTGTTGAATTACCCCACCTTAGGGAAAATACCTTACTATTGACATTATCTATGCCCCTTAAGATTTTATAAATCTCTGTAAGGTCACCCTTTGACCTCCTGTGGTCCAGTGAAAAAAGTCCCGGCCTCTCCTTATAACTGAAAAATTCCATTCCCAACAACATCCTGGTATATCTTTTCTGAATCCCCTCCAATTTAATAATATCTTTGCTACAACAGGGCAACCAGAACTGCACACGGTACTCCAGAAGAGGCCTCACTAATATCCTGTACAACCTCAACATGATGGCCCAATTCCTATACTCAGAGGTTGAACCAATTAAGGCAAGCGTGCTAAATGTCCTCTTAACCATCCTGTCTAGCTGTGACACAAATACCAAAGAATTATGTACCTGAACTAATAGGTCTCACTGTTCTACAACACTACCCAGGGCCCCACCATTTAATGGAAAGGTTCTGGCCTTGTTTGTTTTACCATGTCCTTGAAGCACCCCTGAAGAGGTCATCTATATCTGCACAGAAGACAGTAGGTTGTAACTAATCAAAATTAAGAAGGCTCACTTAGAAGGACAACGAACTCATCAAGAGGCTTTGTTGGGAAGGTACAGAGGTGAAATTAAGATGTCGGAGGCAGCACACAAATCTCAAAGCAATGCATCTGTCCAACCTTTCGAGCACTACCTGCTCCACATCAGATCACAGATTAGATTCATCAGCCATCTCAGAATCCAATGAATCAGAGTAGAAGCAAGCCACTCACAAACCAATCGGCAAGAAGAAGCCTTTCTCATTGGAGACATCAAAAGCAGGGGGCAAAGGATTAAGGTAAGGGGCAGGAAGTTTAGTGGGTATGTGAGGAAGTTTTTTTTCCCCACTGAGAGGATGGTGGGAATCTGGAACTCACTGCTTGTGAGGGTAGTAGAGGCAAAACGCTCAACATTTAAGTAGTATTTAGATGTACCAAGGCAGTGCCAAGGCATATAAGGCTACTGGCCAAGTGCTGGGAAATGGGATTAGAATAGTTAGTTGCTTATTTTTGACTGGTGCAGACTTGATAGGCTGAGGGGCCCTTTTCTGTGCTGGAGACCTCTGACCACTTAACTACAATTGACCTGACATACAGATGATACAAAGTTAAGTTGGATTGTGTGTTGTGAGGATGTAAAGTGGCTTCAGGAGGATTTGAGCAGATTTACTGAACAGGCAAGAAGATGTGAGGTGGAATATAATAGGCAGAGTATTTCTTAAATAGCAAGAGGTTGGAAATTTAGATCTACAAATTGATGTAGATGGTCTTGTCAGTATATCACTGAAGGATAATATGCAGCAAGCTGTTAAGAAGGCTAATAGAATATTAGCCTTTATTGCAAGAAGATTTGAGTACAGGAGTCATTGAAACCTTTCTTCAATCATTTAAGAGCTCTGTTAGATTATATCTGGAGTACTGTATACGGTTTTGGCCTACTTATCTAAGGAAAAAATCTTATTGCAGTGGTGGGAGTGCAATAAAAGTTCACCAGACTTGTTTCCAGGATGGCGGGTCTGTCTTATGACGAGAGGTTGGGCAAACTGGACCTATATTCTCTAAGTTTCTAAGAATGATTGGTGATTTTATTGAAACTTAGAAAATTCATAAAGTGATGGACGGGATGGATGCAGGTAAGATGTTTCCCCTACTTGAAAGGGGTACTAGAATCAGGGGGTACGATTTAAAAATAAGGGGGATGCCACTTTGTGGGCCCAACATGAGGATAATGTGTTTTACACACACGTTTGTGAACCTTTGGAATTCTTTACCGCACAGGGCTGTGGAGGTTCAGTCTTTAAAAGGTGAAGATTGATAGATTTCTGATTACTAGCCATGTATAAAGTTATGAGGATGGTGTGAGTAAAAAACATTGAAGCATTTGATTAGCTATCATTAGCGGTCCCTTGCATACAAGGATGACTCTCTTCTACTCTCATGGTGAGTCCTTAGGTGGCTGATCAACCCAACTGTACAGATCTAACCTCTGCGGTTTGTACAAACCGCAATCTCCCATAGACCCAGTTCCATATATATGCCAGGAATCTAAAACCCTCCTTCCTGCACTATTCTTTGAGCCATGCATTCATCTGACTTAGCTTCTTTCTGTACTCATTTGCATGTGGCACTGGGAGTAATCTAAAGAATATTACTTCAGAGGTCCTGCTTACCAATTTTCTACCTAGTTCCTAAATTCCTGATGCAGGACCACATACCCCTTCTACCTATGTGTCTGGTACCGTTGTGGACTGTGTCCTCTGTCCTCTGGCTGTTCATGTTCTCAGAAGAATGTTCCACAGCTGATTTGTGACATCCTTACCCATAGCATCATAGAGGTAACAAACCACCTGAAGTCGCATTCGCAGCTGCAAAACTGTCTGTTCAAGATCCTTGAATGTTTGTTTTTTTTTTCAAAGATTTGTAGCTCGGGTTGTGAGTGAGGTTGTTGACTTGCTCGCCAAGCTGGCTTGTTTTCATTAAGATGTTTCGTCAACATGCTAGGTAACAACATCAGTGAGGCCTCTGATGAAGCGATGTTGTTCTGCTCCACTTGGAGTTTATACTCTCCGCTCTGTTATGATGTGTAGTGTCATTTTCGGTTCTGTTCTGTATGGGTTTCTATTTGGGGTCCAATTCTGTATGTTTGTTGATTGCATTATAGGTTGAGAACCATGCCCCTAGGAATTCCCGTGCATGTCTACATTTGGCTTGGGCTACTATGGTTACATTGCCCCAGTTAAACTGATGGCCTTCATTGTCCGTATGTACTGATATTAGAGAAAGTATGTAATGTCGTTTTGCTGCTAGCTAATGTTCGTGTATTCTGATAGCTAGTTTTTTCCTGTCTGTCCGATGTAATGTTCGTGGCAGTTGTTGGATGGTATTTTGTAAACTACGTTGGTTCTGCATGTCATGGGTATGGGGTCTTTAATCCTTGTAAGTGTTTGTCATAGCGTGTCTGTGGGCTTGTGTGCTACCATGATTCCTAGTGGTTGCAGGAGTCTCGTCAGTTCTGATATGTTCTTGATGTAGGGCAGCATATAGAATTGGACCCTATATACATACCCATACAGAACAGAAACGGAAATGACACAACTCACCATAACAAGCTGGACAGTATAAATTCCAAGCGGAGTAGAACAACATCGTTTCATTGGAGGCCTCACTGATGATGTTACCTAGAATGGTGATGAAACGTCTGAAACAAAACAAGCCAGCTTGGCGAGCAAGTCAACAACCTCATTCTTGAATGTGTTCTGCTATGATATTAACTTCTACTTTAAACTAACCTGGGGAATAGCATTGACCAGAAATTGAACTGGATCACACATACAAATATTGTGGCTATAAGAGCAGCTCAGACACTAAGAAATAAGTGGGGAGTAACTCACCATCTGACTTCCCCTGTGACCTGTCCAACATCTGCAAAACACAAGTCAGCAGTGTGTTGGAATATTCCCCACTGGCCTGTATGAGTGGAATTCCAACAAACTCAAGAAGCTTGACCCCATCAAGGAAAAAGCAGTCTGCTTGCTTGGTACCACATCCACAAACATTCACTCTCTCCACCACCATTGCTCAAAAGCAGCAATTTGCTGGGTTGTAATCCTTGAACTCCTTTTTTGATAGTATAATGGGTGCACCTATACCAAATGGATTGCTGCAGTTCAAGAAGGCAGTTCGCCATCACCTTCTCAAAGGCATTTAGATATGGGCAATAAATGCTGACCCAGCCAGTGATGGCCACTTCCCTATGAATGAATAATAAAAGATGTATCGGAGTTGCCAAAGAAGCCAGTGGAGTTCACAGCATTTTGACAATCACAATATTAATCAGACAAAATCAGTCATTTTAGGCTGTGGTCCATAAAGAGGCACAAGCAGTAGTAATTTAACTACCCTATTGATCTTATTTTGAACGAACTTATTTTCTTTTAGCTGTGTATGATCGGATGCGTGCTGACCAGAAGAAATGTGGGAAGGCAGCTTGGGCCGTGGCAGTTGAGAGAATGGAAAAACTTCGGTACGCAGTTGCAAAGGAAACACTACAGCTGATGCGAGCAAAAGAGATCTGTCTGGAACAGAAAAAACGGACACTCAGAGATGAAGTAAGTTTGTAGCATTGTAACAAAAACACTTGTTCTGAAGAAGGTAACTGGACCCAAAGTGTTAACTCTGATGTGTCTCCACAGATTCTGCCAGACCTGCTGAGTTTTTCCAGCAATCCGTTTTTCTAATTTCAAGCGTCTGCAGTTCTTTTAGTTTTTCTAACAATGTAATATTTAATGTACAGCTATTCCTCAATTAACATTACTCCGCTCCGCTGAATGTTACTTTGTTTTTAACACCATTTGCTTTTTGGGGCCTTGTTTTGGTCTTGTTTTGCATTGACTTTTTTCATTTTGGCATAATTTGTGTGCTTTGTCAGTGTCCATTGCCATTACAGACCAACATCTAGAAATGCATTCATGCAAAAGAAAACTCTAAGGTTTTGGAGCAGATCTGTAGCTCGGGTTGTGGGTGCTGAGGTTGGTTGGCTCGCCAAGCTGGTTTGTTGTTCCACAGACGTTTCGTTACTGTACTTGGTAACATCCTCAGTGCAGCCTCTGATGAAGCGTCAGTGTGTTTTCCCACCTCGTTTTTAAACTCTGGGGTCCGTTGCGATGGATTGCCTCACTTCCGGGTTTCCTCCGTAGTGGAATGTATGTGAGGTTGAGTTCAATGTGTTTATTAATACCATGCTTCGTGGAGTGCCATGCTTCCAGGAATTCTCGTGCTTGTCTCTGCCTAGCCTGTCCCAGGATCTTGGTGTTGTCACAGTCGAAGTTGTGGTTCTCCTTGTCCATGTGGATTGAGATGAGCACACACAAACGAAGCTGTGTGCAAACACTATTTAAAAGGGCAACAACACACTGCAGCAACATGGAACTATGCCAAGAGGAGGAGGAACACCTCTTCCAAGTGTTCAAGGATAATGCATATCCAAAGAACTGGGTCAGGAGGTGCCTACAGGAACAGCATCAGAAAGATTCTACACGACCCGACACACTCATCACACTACCCTACATCAGGAACACGTCAGAACTCACCACAAGACTCCTACGACCGCTGGGCATCAGAGTGGCACACAAACCCACATCAACCCTACGACAAGTGCTCACCCAAACTAAAGATCCACTCCCCGCCATGGACAGGACCAATGTCATCTACAAGATCCCCTGCAGAGACTGCAAGAAACACTACATCAGACAAACAGGAAGGAAACTAACAACAAGAATACATGAACACCAACTGTACAAAAAGACACGACCAATACTCACTCATCTCAATCCACATGGACAAGGAGAACCACGACTTCGACTGGGACAACACCAAGATCCTGGGACAGGCTAGGCAGAGACCAGCACGAGGATTCCTGGAAGCATGGCACTCCACGAAGCATGCTATTAATAAACACATTGAACTCGACCCCATATACATTCCACTACGGAGGAAACCCGGAAGTGAGGCAATCCATCGCAACGGATCCCAGAGTTTAAAAACGAGGTGGGAAAACACACCGACGCTTCATTAGAGGCTGCACTGAGGATGTTACCAAGCACGGTAACGAAACGTCTGTGGAACAACAAACCAGCTCGGCAAGCTAACCAACCTCAACAGTAAAAGGAAACTACTGAGAATGTTGGAAATCTGAAATAAAAACAGAAAATGCTGGAGAAACTCCACAAGTTTAGCAGCATCTGTGGAGAGAGAAACTGAGGTCATGCTATCATGCCCAAAGACGACCCTTTGGAAATGCTTGCATTTAGGCTGCAGGTCTGGTTTTCCTTTCAGTAGTGCTCATCTGCTTCTGGGGTTTTGCTTCCCTTGTGAATTTGAACTGAGGTCGTGGGCTCCATCTCGTGGCTGCAGGTAGTCAGTGCAGGTACTCTGGGTGTACATTTGCACCAACCAGTTTCTGTCATTAGATGGTCAATCTAACCATGCTGTGGAATAGTACATTATTACACTTTTTAATAAATTTACTATGTTAAAAGTTATTTTGTGTAAGAAATATATGAATTTAGCAATTGTTGATACTGTATTTCAACTAACAGTGTACAGGTATAATGGTTTAAAGTTTTTCTCTGCTAAAGAGAACCAAACTCTAGTTTTAACATTGATTACAATTGGAATTGATGCTTCATTTAGTACCTTTTCATGTAAATTTGTGATTTTCAGGTAGGCAACCTCGATCTTAAGTGAGAACAACCTGTTCATAAAAATAAATGTAAATTGTGGTCAAAAAATGTAAGGAGCAAAAATTAAATTTTCTTGGTATTCACAGTTAGTGATTTCTGAAGTTGTGTACAATTGAAACAATTTTGTCCTGATGGAACTATGTCATTCTCAAAATACTGATGGTTATGAAGTTGTGAAATCAATGATGCATTGGTTGCCACTATGTCAAACGGTGAGGCACAACACATAAGTGATCATAATTAAGGACATTAATGTCGTAGTTGATTGAAACCAGCTTTGTCTGATCAGTGATGAAATACGGAAAAAACTGATTGAAAGAGGGAGAACTTGATGTAGATTTGTATTTAAAACTTATGATTTTGCATGCAAAATGATTGATTGTAACTTTGCTACATCTGTTTAGTTCAAATGTAATCGTTAGCCCTGATGTGATTACTATGTTGGCTGTTCGATTGTTGTTCATTTTCAATACATATTTTTACATGCATTTTATATGCAGTGATCTCCTTAAACATGTATGAATGGTATTGGCCCTAATGGCAGGCTGGATAAACACCACCTTGATTGCTAGTGGAAACCCCAATCTGATTTGAGAAATGAGGTTTGAACTGCCCTGTCAGTGCTCCAGTGCCATGAAAATATGATCTCCCAGCTGAATGCTGACATTCAGTCAAATTCAAAGTTTTATCTGGCGACCTCCTCAGAGGGAAGAGGGCCCTCTACCACTGGTAGAATGCCATTGGTGGCGCATCTGTCCTAACCATCATGATTAAATTCTGCCCAAACTGTGCATTAGTCTATTTCTCTTGTGTCTACTTGCTGAGATGTGCTAGTATGGTGGAGCACAGTGTTGCAAATGCCGGATCAACATTATTTGTAACCACTTCACTGCTACAATGTAGAGTCTAGCATTCTTATCTGTTTATATTTTCTTCTTTAAAACAGTTGCAGAGTCTACAGAGTGGCACAGATGCTATTGCACGGCTGGACCGGCTGGAGGCAGACTATTACGACATGCAACTTCAGTTATATGAGGTGCAGTTTGAGATCCTGAAATGTGAGGAACTACTGTTAACAGCACAACTTGAAAGCATTAAGAGGCTCATTGCAGGTGTGTTGGAAAATGAATTGAACCCAGGTTGTGCAGTATCAGTAAAATGTTTTAAATAAAACCCGAAAGAGTTCTGAGGAAGGGTCACCGGACCCGAAACATTAACTCTGTTTTTTCCTTCACAGATGCTGCCAGAATGAGCTTTTCCAGCAACTTTGTTTTTGTTCCTGTAAATGATTTAAATAGTTGGGAGCCATCTTGTTGGTTCTCATAATGCTGCTACTGCCTTTTCAAATAATTATATTAACTTTGAATTAGCATGTTCGCGCACACTTTTCTTGAGGACTTGGATTTGCTTTCCCTAAGTCCCACACTGCTCATCATAGTTGCTTTGCTGTGGAGAAAATGCTTTCTTTGTTGCAGAGTTATTCAATACAGATAAGTGTGAGGTGTTGCATTTGAAAAGTCAAACCAGGGTAGGACTTGTACAGTAAATGATAAGGTCCTAGGAGTGTTGTGGGACAGAGGGAGCTGGGAATACAAGTACACAGTTTGTTGAAAGCAGTGTCATTAGTGGACAGGCATTTAGCATGCTGGCCTTCGTTGGTTGAGGCATTGAGTATTGGAGTTGGGATGTTATGTTACAGTTATCTAAGTCGTTGGTGAGGCCGTACTTGGAGTTTGTGTACAGTTTTGGGAAAGACCTAGTTAAACTGGAAAATATGCAAAGAAGATTTTATGAGGATGTTGCCAGGACTAGTAGGCCTGAGTTATAGGGAGAGGTTGGCCAGGATAGTACTTTATTCCATGCAACATAGGAAAATGAGGAGTGACCTTAAGGCATATAAAATCATGAGGGGTATAGTTAGGATGAATGCATATAGTATTTTCCCCAGGGACAGGGAATTGAAAACTAGAAGGCATAGGTTTAAGATGGAAGGATTTAAGAAGGACCTGAGGGGCAACTTCTTCACGCGGAGAGTGGTGCATGTATGGAATGGGCTGCCAGAGAAAGTGGTTGAGGCAGTTTCAGTAGCAATATATTAAAAAACATTTAGATAGGTACATGGATGATAAGGGTTTAGAGGGATATGGACCAAATGTGGACAATTGGAACTAGCTGAGTGGGCACCATGGTCAGCATGGACCAATTTGAGCCGACGGGCCTGGTTTCCATGCTGTATTACTGTATGGCTCTATGACTGTATAACTATTATTATAACTCTATTGCCCATCTCATGAATGCTAGCATTAGCAAAGGCTTAGGAGAATATCAAACTTATTTCCCCATATATAAAACTTGCTGAATAAAAAGGGGCAAAGTAGAGATTTTCCTACCTTGAAAATTAATTTTGTTTGTGGTAGTGAATATAACAATGAGGATGAAACAGGTAAAATGGCATTTTTATTGTAAACTTTGATTTGGTTGAAATTTGATTTGTAAAATGATAAATGTTCTGTATTGAGTGAGTCACAATTGATGACTTATATCTTGATTCAATGGTACAGATCAATATAATTAATGAAAAAGCAAAGTCATTATACTTGCTGTCTTCAGGTATTTTCAAAATATTTGTAAATATATGTATTTGGTAAGCTAGAGATGCCATTTTTAGTTTAGATTTTCTTTCTAAATGAATGGAGTCAAATTTATATGAAGAGTAGCTAAAATGAATCAGAAGTTTGATTAAGAAAATGAGGCCTGGAAATGGCTTTACAATTTGGCATGAGAATATGGTTTGCAGGCCAAGTTACAAGTTTAGAAAAAATATTCCTAGTCTTCTTCGTAATGCAAATGGCAGTTATATTTAAAGGGCCTTGAACACAACAAAGCAAACTCACTACCACTTTTTTCAAGTGCAACTAGGGATGGGTTATAAATGTGAGCGTAGCACCCAGATTCTATGAATAAATATTTTTTAATGTCAATGAATCCATTGGGGACTCCAGGGGTAGCAAGAAAAACTATTTCTAGAGGTACCTTGGCTATAACAGGCTAGCTAACAAAGTGGAAACATTATGAATACAATCCAACTGTGGTGGATAACAGGGAAGAGGCATTGGCAAGGAACGGTTGCCTGACTGTGTCAAAGGCTGCAGAGAGTTTAAGAAGGTCAAAAAGAATAGTGCACTATGTTCACATAGCATAATTATTTGTGAATTTTATTGAGGCCATTTCAGTACAATGGCAGGGTTGAAAGCCTGATTTTGGGATTTTAAACATGAGCTACAGCAATGCTGGATGTGGATTTAGGAGGTGACAAGATGTTCAAGGACTTTGAAGAGTAAAGGGAAGTTAAAGATATGACAGAAGCATGTAAAGAAAGGGAGCTTGAGGGGTAGGTACTTAAACAAGGGTTGACAAAGGTGACATTGAAATAGAGGGAGATAGTACCTTTATTAAAGGAAAATTAAACCTCTTGTATTCCTAAACCAGCTTAAGAGAGTAAATGATATATAATGATGCCTATTGGTATTCATTGCAGAAAAACGAGAGGAAGTTGTTTACTATGACACTTATGAAAGCATGGAAGCTATGCAAGCAACAGAGGATATGGCTGCATCAGTGATCCCACAGAAAATGGAACTGCTGAAGCTTCAGCAGAAGGTTCGGCAACTGGAGGCTCGGCGCAGTCGCATTTCAGCCAAGAAGGCCTACCTCAGAAACAAGAAGGTGAATATACCAATTGCAGCAGTAATGGCTTACTTTCATTGCAAATTTAATTTGATATTTTAATACTGTGCAAGTTTAATTTTTTTTATTAAAAGTGATTCTAAAAGACAAAATTGAGTTGTATAGTACTCTGATGCTTGAACTGCAAAAAAGTTGGCTTGTGTATCTGGCTACTTTTGGTGTTGCTCGTAGGGCATGTACTGACTACAAAGATGCTAATGCATGCCTGATATGTACACTGGAAGCATGTCAAGTGGGCGAATCTTCGCATCAAATCCATTTCTAACATTGATTTGGCAGATGCTGCCATTTGGTCTCTAAAGGTGCAGTGAACAGTCTCTTTTCAATCACTCCTAACTGAATTTGTCCTCCACTGCATAAGTGACCCTGCACTCCTGCTGTTAAAAGTTCCAACTGAGGTACTATTGAGTTTCTTTTGCTGGTGCATATTTAGTGGAAGGACTGTGCTCATTATTGGAGAAGTTAAGCAGTCTTTTCTGGTTCATAAGTGTTAGATCTTGACATGGAAGCCCCAGGAGTTGGCAGGCCAGACAGGAGAAAAATATTTTCTGTATTTGAGGCTGTCATGAATACCTATTGAGTTGCAGCATGATTTGAAAACTAAGCACCAGTTATTGTCTTGGACAGCCACGTGCAAAGAGCAGGAGGAATACTTTCAATAAAACCCTACTGCACATGCTGTTTTTTAGGGTGCAGTTCTGTTGCCTGCGTTCAGCCAGGAGCAGCGTGTGAAGCTCTTGAATTTCACCAGGGGGGTGACTGAACTGTGCCGCCTCTTTCTAACCTGCAGCCTCGCAATAGGATGACAACAGTGCTCCCAGTGGCTTTAAAGATCGTTATCACTCTCACTTTCTGTCAGTCAGATCAGACAAATTTAGTCACATGCAGCCGTGTGCCATTTATCACTGAAATCAGGGAAGTCACAGTGGCCTTTTACCAAAGGAGCAGGCGCCTTTCAAAGAAAATCCTGAGGAGAATGCATGTGGCTTTGCTAAGCTAACAGGATTCCTAGTGGTACAAGTTGCAACAAACTCGGCTGCATGGGCCTCACTGTACAGATACAGCAGCTTTTACTAAAGCAGTAAAATTTGGCATTCTGAAAATCTGTATATTTTCCATAAAGAAAAGACATGCTGGAAATTAGTAGAAATTAGATTTGAGCTATCAGCTTTCATCTCTGGGATGTGGGTTTAGATCTGTCTATCCCATACAGATGGGCAAAACTTTTCTTTCTCAGGCTTTAAAAGATCATTTATCTCCCTAGATCAGGTAGTTTGAGTTCTGAAGAAGTCATACCAAACTCGAAACATTAACTCTGTTTCTCTCTGCACAGATGTTGCCAGATCTCCTGAGTTTCTCCAGCATTATTTGTGTTTGAATCAGGCAGACTGAACTCAGGACTTAGCGAACACAGACCCACAGGTACAATGTAGCACAGTCTAACGTAATCATACTGAAGGAATCATACCTCACCGTCCCAGACAACGCCATCATTATCTCTTGGTCTGTCCTGTCACACTGGCAGGACAGACTCACCAGAGGTGGTAACTCATTGGTATACTACTACTCTGAGGAAGCACTGAGGGTGGTAAGGAATTAGTATTAGTTCTGGGTAGAGTCCTTTAATGTCAGTCACCAAAAGCAGTTTTGCAGTACCATGACTAACCAAACTGGTGAAGCCTTAAGGTACATAATTGCTGGACTGGGTCAGCAGTATACGTTGAAGGAACCAACCAGAGGGCAAAGCATAACTTCATCCTCACCATCTGCCTGCTGTAGATGCATCTGTCCAGAACTATCACTGGGTGTGACCATCACACAGTCCTTGTAGTTACAAAGTCCCATCACTACATTGAGGATACCCTTTGTCATGTTGCGTGACGATACCACTGTGTTAAATAAGAGAGATTTCGAACAACTCAAGGCTGGGCATCTCTGAGATGCTGCAGTAACAGTTGTACTTGATCTGCAACCTTCTAGCCCAGCATGGCATCCATTCTGCCATTTCCATCAGGTCAAGGGATCAATGTTCATTCAATAAAGATTGCAGGAGGATATGCCAGGAGCAGCACCAGGCATACATAAAATTGAGCGGTTATCCTAGTGAAGTTATAACACAAAATTACTTGTGCGCCTCATATCTCTGTTGCTTGCTGTTTAAGCTAGGCAATTCCACAGTGAACCAATCAGCTCTAAGCCACAAGTCCTGACACATCAGGGAATCATAGAATTGCTATTGTGCAGGAGGAGGCCATTTGGCCCTTCAGGTCTGCACTGCCTCCTGAGCATTTTAACTTAGTGTCCACTGTACCCTGAATGTTATTTTTATTTAAATAATCATCCAAAGCTCCTTGAGCACTTCAATTGAATCTGCCTACTCCACACTTCCAGGCAATGCATGCCTTTCCTTAAGTATATACTTTTGCAAAAGCTTTATTCCTGTGGCCTTGTTTCTCGATTCCCTATTCATTGACAGCTCCCTCCACCTGTCCCATCATCTTTCAATAACTTGTATGTATACACATCTAGTTTTCTCTGCTCTTGCACACCCCTTAGAAAAGTACTGTGTATTTTATACTAACACATCTTTGCATCACCTCACACTTCACTGCTCACCTGCCACTTATTTGCCCCCTCCACCAACTTGTCTATGTCATTCTGAAGTTCTACACTGTCATCCTCACAGCTTACAATTTTTCCAAATTTTGTGTCATCTGCAAACTTTGAAATTGCCATCTGCACACTAAACTCTAGATCATTAATACATAACAAGGATCCCAATACAGACCTTTGGGGAGCTCCTCTTTAAAAACTTCCTTCCAATCCAAAAAATACCCCTTAAACGTCATTCTCTAGTTCCTAACCCTTAGCCAATTTTGTTTCCACATTTCTCCTCTGCCTTTTTATTCCATGACCTATAACATGCCTCACGAATCTGTTGTATCAAATGCCTTTTGGAAGTCCATGTACACCACATCAACAGCTTTCTACTCCTCAGCCTTCTCTTTTACTGACTCTTGTAAATCAACTCACATTTTTCCATGTGACTATTATTTTTTTCTTGAATAATTGTTTCTAGATGTTTCACAACACTGAATAGTGGTGAATAGTTCAGCAGCTCTGTGTAGGAGAAGGCTGCACAAATATCCCTACCCCTCAATGAAGGGGAAGGCCCAGCACATTTAGTGCAATAAGCATTTGTAACCAATTTTAGCAAGAAGAGCCCAGTGAGTTGGTGTCTTGCAGTAATTCCCACAACAGAGAGGCCAGTCTTCAACCAATTTGATTCACTCCATGTGAAATCAAGAAATGGCTGAATCCACTGGAAATTGCAAAGACTATGGGGCTTGACGTCATCCCAGCAATAGTACTGAAGACTTGTGATCCAGAGCTTGTTGCAGCTAATAATGTTGCCAGCTACAACACTGGCATCTACCTTCCAATGTGGAAAATTGTCCAGGTATCTCCTATGCACACAAAACAGAACAAATCCAATCTGGCCAATTACTGCGCCATCAATCCACGCTTGATCATATATAAACTACAAGAAGGGATCATTGGTAGTTCTATAAAGTAACACTTACTTAGCAACCTGCTTACTGGGACTCAGTTTGGGTTCTGCTGGGGCCACTGAGCTCCTGACCTAATAATAACCTTGGTTCAAATAGACAGGGGTAGCAGCTAGATGGGGACACAACTACGTGCAGGTTCTCCACCGAGCCACTCTCAATCATGATTTCAGTGTCAATGGGTCAGAATGTTTTAACTCTCTCCCTGACATCATTATGCAAATATCTACAAGTGGACTGCAGTAGTTCAGGAAGGCAGCTCACTAGCACCTCCTCAAGTGTAACTAGGGATAGACAATAAATGTTGGGCCAAAGAAGCCCACATCCCTTGAATAAAAACAAAAGTTGTTATTGCAGAGTTACTAGTGGAATTTAGTGATGTCGTATGCATTGCAATGAGTGTATCCTTTGCACTTGCATGGGCAACAACCACAGCCTTAATTTATAGCTTCTTGAAGTCAATCTTGTTATAAGTTATAACTAAGAATTCCAAAAAGATCTAAGATGTACACCAGTAATTAAAAAGAAATTTGGAATAGGCAGGACATATATACTTAATTGTAAGGTCCTGGGGAGCATTGCTGAACAAAGAGACCTTGGAGTGCAGGTTCATGTTCCTTGAAGGTGGAGTTACAGGTAGATAGGATAGGGAAGAAGGTATTTGGTATGCTTGCCTTTATTGGTCAAGTCATTGAGAACAGGAGTTGGGAGGTCATGTTGAGGCTGTACAGTACATTAGTTAGGCCACTATTGGAATACTCTGTGCAATTCTGGTCTCCCTACCATAGGAAAGATGTTGTGAAACTTGAAAAGGTTCAGAAAAGATTTACAAGGATGTTGCCAGAGTTGGAGGGTTTGAGCTATAGGGAGAGGCTGAATGGACTGGGGCTATTTTCCCTGGAGTATCAGAGGCTGTAGAGTGACCTGTGGATGTTTATAAAATCATGATGGGCATGGATAGGGTAAATAGACAAGGATTTTTCCCCAGGGTGAGGGAATCAAACTGGAGGGCATGGGTTTAAGGTAATGGGGGAAAGATTTAAAAGGGACCTAAGGAAATTATTTCACGCAGAGAGTGTTACGTGTATGGGATCAGCTGCCAGAAGAAGTGGTGGAGGCTACTAGAATTACAACATTTTAAAAGGCTTCTGGATGGGTACGTGAATAGGAAAGTTATAGAGGGATATGGGCCAAAGATTGGCAAATGGGACTAGCTTAATTTAGGATATCTGGTCGGCATGGAGAGTTGGACCGAAGGGTCTGTTTCTGTGCTGTATATCTCTATGACTTTATATAAATGTGAGAGTGCAGACAGATTTTAGATTCTTTTCTCAGAATGATTGATGAATTGAATTATACTGTAACATACACGTGACATATAAATTTTGAATTTGTATATTGTACTGACAG